AAATAAGGAGTATAATGCCACATTGGGTGACTAGTAATAGTAGCACAAATGTAATTAGAAACTGTATATCAATTGTTATATAAAAAGGTGTGAATCATGACTAATAAAGTTTCTACATTTGGCAATATAATAATAAAAAAAAAATAAAAAATTTACAGATTAATGACTATAATGGACAGTATGAGTGAATCAGAGCTTTAAAATTGATTTAAAAAAATTTTCATTGAATTCGGTTAGTTGTCAAGAAAATTTGTCTATAATTTAAGAAAAATTCTACTTCGACAACTATATCACGTGATATTCGGTACGAGAAAAATCATGTGATTTGGTACGTGTCCATAGATCGGTCAAAACAATTTAAATTTGGCATTGTTTACACACACACACTCTCTCTCTCTCTCTCTCTCCCACTCTCTCTCCCACTCTCTCTCCTCTCTCTCTCCCTCCATGACATTCAGCTTTTTTACCTCCCCTGTGTCAAGATATACTGGTTCTGTATAAGGAGCCGGTTGAGCAGTTAAAAAAATCTGGGCAGAGAGGTTTTTGTTGGCGAACTACCGGTAAGTAAAGGCTTCGTTTCTGTGAAGAACAACCTACTCCTGCTGTATGGGAGGCGCAGGAGAGAATGGTTGGGGTGTAATACGTCAGGCGGCATTTGGTTTTTTTAAAAAAAATACCCGAATCCTATTTGGGTGCTTGTCAACGCCTACACCTCTGTTATGACCTTCCCAACCAATGAGATACACCTCTTCGCGGTTGTTGGGACAAGTAAGAGAGACAATCTCTGAAACTAAGTATCTCAAACTTTATTAAATTAATAAAAAAAAGTTATATTTTTTTAAAAAATTTTTGTTTTACGAAATATATATATATTTTTTAACATTCCCCAGGTATTAAAAAGACCTGAAACGCCAAATAGGCGTACTTTATTACGAAATATTTGAATTGCATACATTATAAAGTGTAAAAAACTTAATTTGTGATGCGATATTTTTAAATAAAATAAAATAAAAATCGTTTAAAAGACAACCTTATTAATATATAAATTTATTAAAATTATTAACGTAAAAATAAATAAATACAATTATGGTAGAGTATTTAAAAAAATATTAATAAAAAATAACTAACCCAGCATTTTTGTACAAGTCGTACTAAGTTCATTTCGATAATACTGGTACGAAGGGAATGCCCTTTTTAACCATCAAATCCTAATCCTAATAAAGAATCGATTTAACAGTTAAAATCGTAGTAAATTTATACTTAGTTATAAATAACGTTTAAATTAATGCTTTTTTATTTGTAGTTGTTGAATTATCTATCGAATTTATACTGAATTATGGTTTATATTACAAAAACAGTGTGTAAGATAGTTCAATAGTTAATTAATTTAAATATACTTAGAAATAACTTTTTTGATCAATGAGGCGTGGTTTAATTATTAAAAGTTTTACTTGTGATTACTAAATATGAGACTATAATTTATGTTAGCCATCTTTCTTTTTCTCCAACCTTTTTAAATTAATTATACATTAAATCCTAAACAAAATCATATATAATACTTTGTGACTGTCTACATCATAAATCACTTTAATTCTCTCATATTTTATTATCTACTCTCAAGCATCGTTGTCCAATCCCACTTTTTCCATTTTTTCATAAACTCTGATACACGTGTGCTATTATCACGTGGGTTATGCTTTTTGGGACGTCTCCAAACATCCGGTGGTAAATCACATACACCAGCAACTATTTCCTATTTTAAATATCGTGTCAATATAATTTAAAATTCATAATAAAGCAATAATAAAGATGAGAAAATCGAACCTTGCCAAACCACCGGGGAAAAGACTTTTCTTTTTCGATAACATGTCCAAACCCTTTATCTAAACCAAACCAAACGTGAAAATATGGTAACTCTTTAACCATTGAACGCCTGAAACCGGCTTTGGATGTGTCTATTAACTTTTTATTTTGTGACCATTCACCACCACTTTCCATTATGCCTTCCTATTTAAATTAATTATTAAAAACAATATATATGAGAGAAATATATTTAAAAAAAAAATTAATACAATTTTATCTAACCTTAAAATATGCTGGTGCATCTTGGGCCAAATCCCAAGGCATCGGTATACATTCAATGACTGTATGATTTTGATATTTCAAATTTACTACAGTCTCCATGAAAATTACACCTCGATCCTCCTCTGCAAACATCTGCATCAAACATTTCATAAAATTCTAAGTAAAATCAATAAAAATAATGTAAATAAATAATATTAATAAATTGTAATAAATACGATAGCCTATTTAAATTTTAAATTTTCAATTCAAATTAACATACCCGTATTTCATCCCATGCATCATCATCGCACTCTAATGTAGATGAACAATGTTGAACAGGTACAATCAAACAATGCCCTTTAGCCACTTCTACTACATTTGGTAAAGCAAGATACACCCTGTATCCCATCGAAACCATTGCTATTTTTGGTGGTGAATTGTCATTTTGACAATAAATACAATTTTCCAAAGCTTGCTTTGATTTCTTAAAATCTAAAATAGTGATCCAAATTTTTTTTTTTATAGAATGAAAAAAAAACAGAAATCAAAAAGAATCAACTATATAAATATATTGTTACCTTCGATAGCAAAATATCGTTTTTGTTCTGCGGACTTTTCTGAAATTTTGGCGATTTTATCAGCATTTTCGTCCATATAATCTAAATCATCCTATACATACATATTTTAAGAAAATTAGATATGAAAAAAATTTTTTAATATTTTTATATTTAAACTACCTACTTCAAAATTTGAATCATCTATTATCCTTCCAGCAATTTGTGAATCCATTCTATTCCTTGATCCTAGTTTTTCTTCGCGTACCAAATCGATCAACGTTAACTCGTCATCATTTTTGAAATACCGTACTCGTTGACCGGTTACATCATGTGTTTCCACCTTTGTAAACATGTAAAATTATTATGACTAGTAAATAAATAAAGCCGTCTCAAAATCTATAACCATTTTTATATACCTTTTCCTTTTTATGACGGGAAGACCCTGCATGCTGAGAAGATTTTGATGTTATGCCATGAAGATCGTAAGGCCTTCCTCGACTATCCAGCAATGGTAAAACCTCAAACCGAGTTTCTGATTCTACATCATCAGAATTATTCCCTGCTGCTTCTGCTGCTAGTTTGGCATTCTCATATTCCTTTTCCAAGTCACTGGCGTTAGGTAAATTCATTATTCTAGCACGTAAAGCTTTTGCTTGTAGTTTATTTAATTCGTTAGAAGAAAGTGTTGGTGTGGCAGGATTTGAAGAAGGTGGAGGTATTGAAGGTACTGTCGGTGATGGTGATGGTGAACGAGGACGTTTAAGCGGTGATTTAGATGAAGATTCGTATATGCCATCATTTTGTGGCATTTTAAATACCGATTTGTTTGCAAACTGTACATTGAAGTAAATTGAATAAAAAATATCAGAATCAGTAGTTGACGAAAAACGTAAAAAAAAAGATCACATATTCTTACCGGTTTCAGGGAGTCTTGTGAAGAAACCGGAATGGAAGGCGGACCGATCTGCTTTTCAACCCAAACAGCGTTGTCGAGATCGAATTTCTCAGTTCCAGAATCAGTACTACTACCACCACTTTTTTCCTCATGACGATCGTGTTTCTTACTATGTTTCTTATGCTTTCGATCTTTTTTATTCTTCTTTGAAGTTTTATCCTTTTTAGATTTCTTAACTCGTTTAGAACTTGAAGATTCTGTTTCCATTATTAAAGTTATGTTTGAATACTTGAATTGATCTACATCATATAAGTGTCCGAAGCGCATGAGTCAAATTTAATTTCATTGGCTATCAAGGTAAATAAAAAATCCGATTGGTTAATTATGTTCCAAAATCAAGAATTTTTATTGAAATAAAGTGCGCACGTGAAAAATGAACACTGGTGGTACTGGTAGGAGCATGAATGGTAAATGACTTGAAATAACCCAAATGAAATGACTAGTGACCAGCCTGACCAGTCGTTGGATCATTTCAAATAACCATAGAAGGTCATTTAACATTTGTTAACTGATAATCTAACGCCTTTTAGCCAATCAAAGTTGATCTGTATTCAAATTTTACGAAAAATAATCATTACCAGTATCCCAAATCTAGGAAGGTAGAGAGATTATGTTATATAAAGAAATGCGTTTGTGAAGAATACTTTAAGAGGAATAAATACTTACAGCAAACAAAGTTTTACTAAAATCTTTATCATCTTGGATTTTTCCTTTTTTTAATGTCTCACTTTAAATGAAAAAATTTTTTTAATTTAACTTTATGTTCATGATTTTTAGTATCTTCTAAAATAAAATTTTCAATTTGTTGTTTGATACCAGGTACGGCAATCAGATTATTTTTTCCTCAGTATATCCTTGAATTTATACCCTGGTCACTATATCAAGATCGCAGAGCATAAATCAGTTTTATACCCTGGTCATTATATCAAGATCGCAGGGCATAAATCAGTTATGTCCTGGGCACTATGTGATAAGCGGGACTTTCAGCCCCGCTTATACCCAACTGCCCAGGAAATAACTATTACATACCCTGCGACCTTGTTATAGTGACCAGGGTATAATATGACATAATACCCCGATCACTATATTAAGATCACGTGGTATTAATTAATAATACCCTGACCGTAGCGGAAACGAAGTTTCCGCTAATCCCCAACGGATCAGGGTATTAGTAATAGTTATTTCCTGGGCAGTTGGGTATAAGCGGGGCTAAAAGTCCCACTTATCACATAGTGCCCAGGACATAACTGATTTATGCCCTGCGATCTTGATATAGTGACCAGGGTATAATTATTACAAATATTAGAGCACCTCATTATCCGTAAAAATATCCAAAGAGATAGGCTACCATTTCTAGGAATTTCACGTGAAACTTATGTAAAAAGACTAAGAGGATCGTGAAAGTAAGAATGAGGCCGATTTTTTAAGAGTTTGAGGTGTTCCTACTAGAAGAAATTAAAAAAGCTGGCCTTGGTGGCTGATTTCGCATATATATAGTTGATACTGTCTCTAATTGCATACACTCTCTAAATGAATAAAAAATTTTGACTTTTAATTATTAACGAAAAAATAGTTCTTATGACTTAATGCATATATTGCCTATATGCCTCTGATGGCTAGTATGCAATTAGACAGTATCGACTGTAAATATGTTTAATAACATTTACTTTCGCATGTGTATTGATATTTTCTCTTGGCAAAAGTGATAGCGTGAACAATTGTTCACGCTAGGGATGTTATCCTGCTTAAATTTGCTACTTTGTGCTTTAAAACCCATTCGAACACTGTTTCGAACCACGTACATAAACTGGGTTTCAAACTCTGCTTTAAACTATTTATATACATGTACTATTAATTACGTGCTCCTGAATATATTAGTTTTAAACCCGTTATTTATTTATTTATTAGAACATATAAATATATATAGTATACATTAACACTAATTTAACTATATATTTGCATATTATATTAAAATTGCAGAATTGATGTGGAAGTAAATTTATTCAGGCGTATGTTGAGATAACGTTGACATTGATGTACATTCATATTATTAAAATTTTTAATTGCGTTTTCTTCAACCATCGTATAAAGATAAAAAAATAAAAAATAAAAAATAAAAAAATAAAAATAAAAAAATAAAAAATAAAAAATAAAAAAAATAAAAAAAATAAAAAATAAAGAATTAATTTATTTGTAGCCATGCTATTTTTTATAGAAAAATTGTACAGCTTATTAACATTAGAGTTAGGTTTAGAGTTAGGTTAGGTTAGGGTTAGGGTTAGGGTTAGAGTTTTTTTAGGTAAAATTGTGAGGGGAGCATTTTTGCTTAGTTACACAACAGGGTTACCCTAGTAAAATTTTAAGATATAAGCGATTTTATGAATATGGCTACATGTAGCCATGGCTACAAATATATAATTCCAAAAATAAAAAATAAAAAAATAAAAAAAAATAAAAAATAAAAAAATAAAAATAAAAAATAAAAAAAAATAAAAAATAAAAAATTAATTTATTTGTAGCCATAGGCCAGTGTTGTTAATTTTTGCTTCCAGTGGAAATTCTCAGCCTTCTAGTGGAAATTTATAATAGTAAAAGCTCCAGTAGTACTATTAATTTTCTTCCAGTGGAGTTCTATTTGTTTTCCAGTAACTTCCAGTTAACAACACTACCATAGGCTACATGTAGCCATGCTATTTTTTATAAAAAAATTGTATAGCTTATTAATATTAGAGTTAGGTTTAGAGTTAAGTTAGATTAGGGTTAGGTTAGGGTTAGAGTTAGGGTTAGAGTTTTTTTTAGGGTAAAATTGTGAGAGGAGCATTTTGGCTTAGTTACACAACAGAGTTACTCTAGTAAAATTTTAAGATATAAGCGATTTTATGAATATGGCTACATGTAGCTATGGCTACAAATATATAATTCCAAAAATAAAAAATAAAAAATAAAAAATAAAAAAATAAAAAAATAAAAAATAAAAAAAAATAAAAAATAAAAAATAAAAAAAAATAAAAAATAAAAAATAAAAAAATAAAAAATAAAAAATAAAAAAAATAAAAAATAAAAAATAACATATTTATAGCAATTGAAATGCTTCTACAAAAAAATAAAAATCATATAATGCTTATTATATGTAATACATATCATTAGAAATTAGCTTTTAATTAAAAAATTAATAATGCAAATATCACATCATTACATCATGGAAATTAACTTTTATTGCAGTTTTCGAAATAGTTGAGAATAGCAAAATTTATAAAAAATATTTTTTTTATGTAAAAACCAGAAAACCCGATTAGTTTAGAACAATGATTGATGATCAATAATCGATCCTGATTTATATATATGTCTTATTTAAACAATCACATAACTAACTCTTGTTTATTGTGCTGCTATGACAATTATAAATTAAATATATAGTGATAATTATACATGTGTATTATATACACATGCAACCTATCTAGTAACGGTAATTAAAAAACTTCGATCTGTTTAATTTTTTTTTTTAAACTTATTAGACTTTATTGAAATTTTTACATTTTTAGTTAATCAATGTACTGTAAGCTAATAATACTCAGGTCTTAATCATGGGGTATTATTCGTTGAGGATACAGTGCTAGATGGTAAGTATCTATGTTCTTGTTTTGCAAACCTGTCTTTAATTCTATCTATTGAAAAAAATAAATGCTTATGAGCTGAGTAAAAATTTCGTTATAGAACTTGCTATAGTAACACAGTATGTAGTCAAAATTTGAAAACTTGCTACCAACAAAACCACAACGTTAATCCAAAGTGAAAAAATTTTAGTTTAACATAACTAATAAATAATAAAAATAAATTGACAATTTATATTTCTCTTAATGATGAATGAAATCATAGAAATTAGTGTTCCTATGAACCGAACTGAAACCGAACTTTGGTCAAGTTCAGGTTCAGGTTCAGTTCAATCATGTTCA